CAACAAATGTTGGAGAGGGTGTGGGGAAAAGGGGACCTTAGTTCACTGTTGGTGGGATTGCAGACTGGTACAACCATTATGGAAAACAGTATGGAATTTTCTCAGAAAAATAAAAATTGACCTGCCTTTTGACCCAGCAATTCCACTGCTAGGATTATACCCCAAGAATCCTAGAACATCAATTTCAAAGAACCTATGCACCACAATGTTCATAGCAGCACAATTTACAATAGCCAAGAGCTGGAAGCAACCTAGGTGCCCATCAGTAAACGAATGGATCAAAAAATTGTGGTACATATACACAATGGAATTCTATGCAGCAGAGAGAAAGAAGGAGCTACTATCTTTTGCAACAACATGGATGGAACTGGAAAGCATTATGCTGAGTGAAATAGGCCAGGCATTGAAGGACAAATACCATATGATCTCACCTTTGACAGGAAGCTAAAGAATAAAACAAACAAGCAAACAGAATAAAAACAAAGACACTGAAATAGAGAACAAGTGGGCAGCGACCAGAGGGGAGAGGGAAGGGAACTTAAGGGGAAAAAGGGGGAGGGATTTTGAGGAACAAGTATGAAAGACACAGAGATGAGGAATGGGGGGGGGGGGGATGTGAGGAAGGGGGGAGACCGGGCGGGGGGGTGGGGTGGGATGGGAGAAATAGATAAAAAAAAAAAATGTACTTAAAAAGTAACTAAATAAAATTTATATTAAAAAAAACGAAAAAAAAAAAACTATAAATGATCATATCCGTATTACTACCCTGCCAAGCACACTCATGCAGGTGTTCCTTCTGCTGCCCCCGTGTACATCATGTGACTCTACGTAAGAGCAGAATTCCAAAGCAGGGGAAGTCATCACAGCGAAATCAAGGTGGCAGTCACCTTCAGAGCACAGAGAGGGAGAGGCTTAGTGACAGGGGCAGGGCATGGGGCCCCGGGTACGTGGGCGATGGCCTGTGTCTCTGACCAGAGGCACTTTCCTGGGCTTCCACTGGGTGACAAGTCACTGACCACATCATTTACGCTTTATATGCATTTCTGCATATCTATAGCTCGTCAATAAAAAAGCATTAGAGCTTTTAAAATGAAACAAAAGCACAGAGGAATCTTTAAGTATCTAAAGCGAATTGAAAAAGTAGGTAATCGCGTATCATATTGTTGACAGAGTGCAAAGTGAAGGATTATGTGAACTGAACTGACGACTCAGCATTCCGACTGTACATACTGTCTAGTGGGTTATATCGCAAGGACCAAACACTTTTTTAAAAGGAAGCACACTAATACCCTCAACCATACTTGCTAGTTTTACTACGGTTAGTAATAATATCGGCATCATTTTTAAACTATAGATTAAAGAAAATAAGTAATTATGTTAATGTTGTTACTGGCCAAAATTTTCAGCTTTTGAAAAGAAAAATAACTTTAAATCAAAACAGTAAAAACTCTCATCTTAAATTTGAATCAAAAGTAATGGCATGAACTGTGATTTTTCTTTTTAAGAAATAATATGTAACTGCTGAAACAGTCTAAAACAAACGACAGTCCCAACAGCAACCAGCACCCGGACCCAGACTGTTCTCTAAGCGCCATTTCCAGCTGGGATTAAACAAGTTGCTTCCAGAAGCAATTTCAGAACCGGGGCTGACTACTCCTGAGACGAGTCTGCAAAATCCTGTTGCCGGGAAGCAAGCAGGTCATCAGAGACAGACAGGGTCACATGGAAGGACAGAGGAGCAAATTCCAGAGAGGGCTTCCTCACACTGAGCCAGGACAACTTAAACATCAAAAAAAAAAAAAAAAAAAAACCCTGATGACTAACTACCAAAGACTAAACTACATTAACATACATATATGAAGCAATGAAGCCATAAGATCTCAATTTTTTTTAAATCTCATTGAACACTTATCGAGATTACTAAGGCACCAACTCATTATTCTGAAAATTGGTTTATAATAGGAAACAATCATTTTTCCTGCCTTTGCTTAAGAAACTGATTTTAAGATAACCAAATGGGTGATATGGAAAAGTTCTTCTGTAAGGAAAACTCCCAGTTGGAAATGAGAAAAGCATTGAGGAAGGAGAAAGTTATCATTTTTGCAACCCTAAGCTGGGGCCAATGCATCTGAGCAATGATCACCAATGGATGCCAACACTCTCAGGTGAGAGGGATGGGAAAGTTCCTAATGATGAGGCTGAGAACACCTGAAGCCAGTGAGCAAGCGTAGCATCACTTACAGTGCGGCAGCCGGACATGACGCGCCTTTCTCCATGAGGAAATGAGAAACACAGAGCCCCAACTGAGAGGAATCCCTACCCTCCCTCCATAAAACTGAACTTGAGCCTGATCAAGGCCACACGCTTAACCAGCAGCTCAGGAAATGCGGCTGACAGACCCCCATGTTAAATGGTACCCCAAGTTTAGAATAAAATGCCTGACATTCCAGGTTTGGCTCCAACAAATGACAGTGTGACTCAATAAATAAGTGGTGCTAAGAAAAACAGGAAAATGTGTGAAATTAAGAGACTTAAGAGTCACGTTTAATGCAATACAGGACCTTAACTCAGTCCTGGCTCGATGAAAAAGTACCCAATGCCACAGATGAGAAAATCCGTGATTTTCAGATTTTCTACCATTAAGAAAATCTGAACGCCAACTGGATATGAGATGGGATTCAGGATGATTATGTTGGGTGTGATAATGGTATTGTGGTTATATATTTTTTTATTCTTTTCTGTTAGATACATATACTAAAGTATTTACGAGAAAGGGAGGAGAGGGGAAGAAGGGACAGAGGGCAAGAAAGCAGACAGACAGACAAAATTGGCCAAGTGCTAACAACTGCTGGAAATGAGTGATATCTCATCATTCCGGTCTCTCCACTTTGATGCGTTGAAATCTTCCATAACAAAAACATTTAATGAAGGGGTCAAACTATAATGTCTATTAATGTTCTTCCACGTCTAAATTTTAAGGTTCTACATTCAATTTTCTAAAATATATCCACTGCATGCTTAAGACTACATATACACACCAAAATAACAGAAATATTTATTACAAATTATTACACACACGAACCACGGTGATTACTGGGTGATTAATGTATTATCTATGAGGAAGAGCCTGAGTAAGAATCAGGCTATAGTTTTCTCTGGAAAAGATGAAGAATAGTTCAATAAATGCTTTTAAATACATACAAGTGGTGATGATCAGCTCTTTTCTGTAACTGCTAATGACAGAATAAGATGAAAGATACTTAAACTACATCTTCAGGATAGTAAAACAGAGTCTTCCCCATCTCTTCTGCCTCTTTGTAACAAATTTGTAACACAGACATACTTTCTTACCCTTCTTTTAATCATTTATGAAACCTTGCAACACTGACTGATGATCCAAAATACATGTTTCCTCACTGCGAGGAACTGTGGGAAATAAAGATGAATAATAAAATGAGGTTCTAGGCCTTGAAAATATCTATAGGACCTTCAGCCACAATTTGTATTGCCCACAAATAGTAAACCTACCCGAGAAATCGGACGCATCTCACACTTGAAATTTTATTAATAATTTACTGGAAAATTACCTACGAATGCCCAACTGAGAGTTTCACAGAAACCTGGTCTCAAGAGCCCTGCACCTAAGGTTCTCCACCAGGCCTCCCTGGGTTCTCAGAGCCCCTGACAGGGTGGGCAAGGTGCTGACTGCGTTTTTCTAGAGAGGCTGTCTCAGCTCTCATTCATCGCAAATGGCATTAATCACCAACGGAGTGCAACTGCATTTCATGCAGCAGAAACTCCAAAAAAATAAAAGAATAAGAAAACAGGGAAACGATGAAATATGGTACCATATATCTGCTTAAACCTCCTTCTTCCTGAAGTTGAAAGAGAAATACTTTAACTTGAGGAACTTTGTTTACAGTGTTTGAGCGACCTCTAGTGGCTACTTCAAGTGTGACAGCCAACTGAATAAAAGATGGCATTGCAGGAGCACCTGGGAGCTTCCAATTACTCTGCAAACTCCTCATTATCCAACAGGTCTTGGTTCACAATATGTTGTGCTTAATTCAGAACAGTTGCCCAAATAGCTAACAGTTGCCCAAATAGCTAACAGTTGCCCAAATAGTAGCTAAACACTACTGTGCTTTTTTAAAATAAAGTAAGTATGACTTTTCCCAAGTTTCATTTCAAATTAATAAAACACAGGCAAGTGTCCCACAGGGGCCAGTGTAGGGAGGGCGGCCGGCAGGGGCTCAGGAACTCCCACCCAGCCCCTCCTCCCAATGGCAATAGCGGCATCAGAACACAACGCTTATTAAGTAGCAGCAAGAGGAGTTGGGGAAATGGCTGGAGAGGCTCCCAGGCTGCAGGGAGGGAAGTACTGGCCCGAGAGCATGGGAACAAGTGTGGTTCAAGACCTGCCAGGTCGAATGCTCTGGATGGGGGAAGGGGAGGGGGTCAGGCCTCAGGCATGGAGCTGCAGGGAGCTGGCCACCTGGTCATGGGTCAGTGCAGATGCCCTCTGCCCAAACCCACAGGAGTCCCTGCAGCAGCAGAACCCACTGTCTGCAGTCCCAGTTCCAGGGGGGTCCCCGGCTCCCTAGCACAAGGACCCCCCAGGGGTGCAGGCAGCCACTCAGCTGCAGCCATGGCTAGTGGCCCATCTTCCCCGGACTCTGTCCCACGAGCCACCCCTCATCTCCTGACCTCCCATGCCCCCCACCCACTGACACCTCACGAAACGGACCCTGTCCCAGCGTAAGTGAAACGATCAGCAGAGCCTGGGACCGGAACCTCCACCACGCTGCCTTTCACGGCAGAGCGTGTTGTGTGTTCAGCTGCACGTGAACCAGAAGGCCTACTGAGGTTGTCGTTTTACAACAACTGGCACCACTCACCGGGGAACCTTGTGAAGGTCAGTGAAGCCTGCATATTCCGAACTATGAAAGGAAGAATCATCTTTCTGTCATTCACAGTATTTCAGTAACACAAGAAATTACCTCAATAACAGGTGCGTTTTCTTGAAGTTCAGCCGTGTGTGAGGCCAGTAAGCCGATCACTCGAGCGACCTTGGCCCGTCTGCAAATGGAGAGGAAACAGTCTTTGAATGGGAGTCAGGGACTGAGGAAAGCAACCCCCAGGGGTAATTACACTGAGTCACTAGGAGCATGAACATGAGACGGACCTGCAATGGGACAGGGCAGCATGTTCTCCCCCCGCCCCTGCCTTTTCCCCGCCCCCACCAGAGCCCACAGAAATGCTTATGTGCCCAGAAACCTGAACAACAACCCTCCGCAGTCCCATCTGTAAAAGTGACAAAAACTGAACAAGTTGCGCTTTCACTGTAAAACGGAAAACATTTTTAAAAGGCTGTAAGCTGGGAGAAGGACATGGTAACGACCCTTTTGTTTCTGAGAACAGGGGTGTTTGGCTAAAGGTCTCTGTTCTGCTTATTAGTAGGCCAATGATTTTATCTGTAAGTAGTAAATTATATCAGGAGTGTGAAGTATACACAGTGTGGGAAAAAGCAGGCTTACAGCTATTCATACAAAAAATTATACAATAATTAATAAATAAGAATAAACTGTTTCACTTACTCGCAACTGTAAACCTACCTTTTGCTCTGCCCTGTATGTTTATATGTATATATCCACACTGATGCCAAGTTTTACGATCATAAATGTCATCCATATTGTTCTATTTTAATAGATACTAGTAAATACTAGTTTGTTTTAGTGAGGTGTCTCTGTTTCATTGTCCATCAGAAAATAAAGCTGATAGATTATTAAATATCACTTCAGGTGACTTGAAAAAGTTTATTTCATGTAGAAAATTCATTTGGGTGAGAATCTTTTTTTTAATTTGAAAAAGAATGAGTGCATGAGCTGATGAGAACACACACTCATGTAGTGACACTTGTGTGTCCTATGGAATGATCAGCCAGGGAGCCCCCACTTCCCAGACTCCGAAAACAACTCTGCAGAACCCCCAGGGGGAGCTGGTCAGACTCAAAGAAGGACCCCAGGGAGGCCTTTGCTAGAACGCTAACCCACAGAAACAACTCTCATGGATTTCGACCCCTCTCAGCCATTCAAATCTCTTAGCATATGGATTAAAAAAGGCCTAGGCGATACATGGAAAACATTTGGTAGGACAATGAGCCAAAAGTTACAGGACACAAATGTAAAACTTTCATGCATCAAAGGACACTACCCACGTAGTGGAAAGGCAACCCACAGGATGAGAGAAAATACACGTAAATCATTTATCTCATGAGGGGTTTATATCCAAGAATACAAAGAACACCTACAAATCAACAAAATTTAAAAAAAAAAAAACCAATTAGAAAAAATGGGCGAAGGACTTGAGCAGACAGTTCCTCAAAGAAGATTTACAGATGGTCAATCATCTGAACGCTCAACATTACCAGTCACAGTGAAATGCATATCAAAACCCATAAGATATCACTTCCCACCCATTAGGACAGCTACCACCAAAGAAAAAGAAGCAAACAAAGAGAAAACAAGTACTGGGAGAAAATGGAAAAAAGTCAACTCCCGTGCGTCGCTGGTGGAAGGGTAAACTGGTGCGGCTGCTATGGAAATCGAGGTCCCTCAAGAAGGTGGACCAAGGGTCACTGTACGATCCGGCAATCCCCTCCCGGGGTGCACCCCGAAAGGACTGAAAGCGGGGACCTGGACAGATGCTTGTGAACTGTCGTTCAGAGCAGCATTAACAACAGCCAAAAAAAGGCAGAAGCAACCCCGGTATGCACCAACAGATGAAAAGATAAACAAAATGTTGCATTTACATACATGGAGTAGTATTCGGCCTTAAAAAAGAAAAGGAATGCTGATACATGCCACAGCCTAAAATAACTTTGAAAATATTAAGTTCAACGAAAGAAGCCAAACACAACAGGACAAACATTGTATGATCCCACTTACGTTAGGCACCTGGAGGAGGCAAATTCAGAGACACAAAAAGCAGAACAGCAGTCACCTGGACTGGGAGAGGGGGAAGGCATTCCTGGCTAGTGGGCAAAAGCTCCTTTTTGGGGTGACGGGGAAGTTCTGGCAACCGACAGCGGTGATAGTTGCACACTGTGAATATACTTAGTGACAATGAACTGCACACTTAAAATGTCTAAAACGGTGAAATTTATATTATGTACATTTCACCACAATGGATAAAACTAAAATGTATAACTATATGTAAATTAGGCCTCAAGGAACTTGACTGACAGAGGTCACAAAATCTGACAACTGTCCACCATTGACAGTTCTAAGAAAAGGGCATTTTGTACACGTTGGGAATGATGTTGATACAAACCTTCTACAGAGCATTCATCAATTTAACAAAAATCACAAGAATATGTATTGCCTTCTTAGCCATTCATTGTAACCGTATAAACCTGCCCTAAGAGGTAAAGGAAAACAGGCACAAAGATGTCCATCATTGTATCGTTGGCAATACTGACTAGCCCAAAACAGAGAGGAGCGTACGCAAATTGTCAGACATTCATAGCACTTCAAAAAAAAAAGACACACCTTTAAAAAGTATCTTAGACGAACAATGAATGACTTTAAAAGTACTGAACCTGTTATAAGGGGAGAGAAACTCATCAAATTACATCATGTTATTCTATTTTGCTTTTCTGTATGTTGAACAAAGCCAAGAATAAACGCACCGACTTCGTGACCCAGGCTAAATGAAGGGCCTTCGGCGGACGCCAGGGTGACTGACGGGACCGGCCCGCAGGAGTCCCCTGGATGAAGTGGCATTTGAATGAAGAGAAAGACTAAATGAAGCCTTTACACAGAGGCCTTGTCTACCTTTTCCCCAAATTACGTGTTTTACAATTACACTTCAATTTTTTTTTAATTTTTTTTAAAAACCAGTTTTAATGCAGTCCTTGCAAAGGATTAAGGAAGTCTATTTTTAAGAAGTCAGCAGGGGGCACCTCATTCAAGGATGCAATTTAAGCTTTCGCTGAAGCCTTCAGTCTCATTGGTTTCTTTGTAACGAGCACGCCACAGACCTTCTCAGCATCTTACACGCTCAGACACTACCTGAGAACCCTGTATGCAATGCCAGCCTTTACCTTGGGAGAGTAACGTAAGAAAATGCACACGAAAATTATCGGAAAGCTGCACCCTGTGACCACGGCGGCGTCCCCAGATTCTGCCAGCCTGCAAGATGTCCTGCCGCTGCCACATTTCCCAAAACCCCTCCCCTTCCCGCTTCCTCGGGCTTCTCCTAACAACCCCACGAGAGGAGCAGTCCTGAGGAGGATGACCACAACCTCCACGCCCTGTGAGCTGAGCAGCCACTGAGAACCTGGCACCGCGCAAACTACTCCATATACTTCTCTCACCCAAAGTTTAATGGTTACCAAAGATCTACGCAGTAGATACACTCTCCATATTCTGCAGACAAGGAAACTGAGGCTCAGCCGTTAAAGCAGACTTGTGTGTGTGGGGGGGGGCAGATCTGTGATCCACACCCAGGTCCGTCTGAGTCCGAAGTCTGTGTGAGGTTGTCGCCCCACACAGGTTCCCCCCATGGGGGCGGCACTGAGCCCCAGGAAGAAGTCATCACCGGGCCAAGCTGCACGGGCAGCCACAGCCCAGGGCCTTCTGACACTGTCTGACCTGCGGCTCGCCCCGGCTTGCTGTCCCTGTAGGCAAGCCAGCATCTTCCCATCAGGAGCTTACGGCTCTCGATCCCTCCTGATTTTAAAGAACGTGGTGAGGAAGGTAGGCCCTACATGGACCAAAGTTACTGTGGCAAGGGAGAACTCCTCGGGAAGCACAGCTACACCAAATCCCAGGGTCAAGGGTAAAGCAATTGATGAAGAAAACTCAAAAGAGTAACAGTTCATGAAGTTTCCAGACACACTGTATACAATCCCGGAACTATGTTCGCAACATTAGAATAAGGACTATTTTCAAATCGTTTTACATTTACTGTCGAAAAGCCGGTAGAAACTGCCTATGATGCAGGGGCATCGTCGCTTCAGAAGATTCCGTGATCAAGTATTTATGTGCCTTGGATACACATGTTTGTTCTAACTACTAACTAGCATAGTGAAGAATAAATGATTAAAATATGAATGTTACTTACATATCCCAATTTGGGGCTATTCGCAAATGCTGGATTAGCAGTTGGAACTAGGATGAAAAAAAATGAAGACACATATTTCATTCACAAAACCACCCAAAGTGACCGTGCAGTTAAAAACTCAGGCCTGTGTACAACAGAAATGAGAGTGCCAAGAACACGATTATTTACAAAAACACAAAAGCACCGAGTACGTGAATAAGATAAAAATAAAAACTACAAACATTACTTCTACTTTCTCATACCCCGTGATGTTCCCTAAATGTGTCCCACCCCTCACCCCATAAACACCCTCCAGGTACCAAAAAAGTAACCTTAAAACTACCCTAAGAGCAAACGACTACAGATTCCGAGCCAGTTTCCCAAAGGAGGCCCCATAGGGACCGCACACCAGATCACTGGGACTTTTGGGAAAGACTTCAAAATCTCCACCACACCAGTCCAAGAAGTAACATTCCCAGGAGAACAGTCTTGGGGACCCACTGTCTCCCCTCCGCGTCACGTCGGAAACCTTGGCATTCACCGGGTGACCCAACAGAGGAACCTCGCTTCCACATGGGCAGCTTGTTCCCGGCACCGATGAACAGGTCTCTCTTATGATTCCAGATGCAGAAAGTATCATATACAATTGTAACAAGTTAACATGAAATACAAGCCAAAGTAGTAACAAAAGAAGTTCACGATCCATGTCTACTCCACTGCTTTTAGACCTGAGGATTAAACGGAGGATAATTTTGACAAACCTATAGTCTTGCTAAATCACTTATTCACTGTAATGAAATCAAGTTGGTATTTTAGCACCTGCTTTCATCTCTATGGAAATACCTAAATTACATGCAGAAGGCCTGCTGCAGGGACCTTAAAAGGAGTCTTTACGTCACAACTCGACTACCTACCAGCGGGGAGTGGAGGAGCCTGGTGGCCACCTCCCTCTGACCAGCCACCGCGCACAGATAGCAAAGGAGGTTCAGCTTGAGCCGGGAGGCCCCCGCGGTCTTCTCGGTGGAGTCGATCTGGGCGCACACCTGCTGCAGGAAGTCGTTCCACGCCTGGTCCTTGAGCAGTGCCAGCTTCTCCACTGAGGAGGAAGGAAAGTCTCAGAAGTGGGCCTCGTGCAACGGGACTCCCGAAACTACCACGGGAGAGATGAAATGGGACGTGGAGTTTCAACAGCTGAGCACGGAAGAAGTGGTGATTTCCTGACGTCAAAACCCAACACACTCCGCAGCCCACACTATTCTTATTCACTCGTCTGTACTCATGACTTCCTCTTCCTGTGGAGACTTTTTTAACTGGGTCCATGGAAAACTATGCTTTAAAAAAAAAAAACAGGTGCCTAAAGGAGATTTATCCTGCCGCACTTGAGAATATAATCAAGTGCGAAGTTGTAAAATTGCATTATGAAAAAACTGAGTCTGTGAACACAGCAATCTAGCCTTAAAAGGGTAGAAAAGCCCATCATTTGACGGAGGTTAAAAGGTTCCAGTGAGATGACTGCTGAGCAGAACCAGGGCGGCACGACAGCTGAAGCCACCTGGGGTCCCCCAGCAGTCCCCACACAGACTGACAGCGAAAACCAGGAAAAGAGACGCCGTTCAAAGTGAGGGCGTCTCTCCACCTTGAAACTACAGAAGCTGCCAGGATCACTCCCCAGAATAGCTCAAAGGGAAAGAAAAATATTTTGACAATAATCCTCTGGGTTTCCATAAATAGTGGTTCTACTTGGCATGGTTTTATTTAGATTTGAATATACTTTACTTTTTTAATTTACTTTGATTTGATTTCAGATCATAGTTTCTACTGTAGCTATGATGAAGAAGTTAGTTTGAAATCTAGTTTAACCGCTTTATCAGACGAAATACATCAATAGATAAGGCATAAAGAAATTTCTGATGTTGCCCCGAACTTGGACTTCCCGTGAGGCGAAAGGGAACGTATCTTCATTCCCATCCCCCCCCCCCACGAAAGTGGGGCCATCTGGCTCCATTCTCAACCGCCCCGGCGTCCTTGAGTAGAATCTCCATTCTTCACTGTGGTTCCCAGCTCTCCACACCACAACTGCACTGTAAATGCTGGGAAGCCAAGGGGCTCTATGAGGGGAAGGGCAGGAGCAGGGCCCCCCTGCAACAGGAAAACTCACGCAGTGTTACAGGCACTCCCCCACCCTCCAGAGGACAGGGCAGCCGGGACTGGCCCAGTCAGGTCAGAGGCAGGCACAAGCAGGCTACAGGTCCGTTGTAACTCATAAAACACTTCCCAGAGAACGGCCTGTTGGCAAGAACCTAGAAATTTCGCTGTTTATGAATAAAACATTCATCTGCTATCAAATTTCCGTCGCCACAGTGTCTGCATGCTCCATAAAGCCTTGTGATCCTACCTGAGTGTGCTGGCAGATGCAGTATTTTGGGATCAAACTTGATCGGTGGCGGTTTCATTATCTGCGGTTAAAAAAAAAAAACCACCTTTTGAGACAGACGTGACTGACTCTGGATCCTGCTGTACCTCCTACACCAGATCATAAATCAATGAGGACAGAAAAGAATGCTGTAAATTCTGTCACCAATAGTGCCCTTTCAGACTACAACCTACAAACACGGATAATGCATAAAAATAAAATGATTCAACTGATTTGCAAGAAAATAAAGCCTCATAAAAGAGCTACCCTATCTTGGCTTATCTGTAACCTAACTTACCTCGAGGTGAGAAACTGAGTCATTCAATAAAACACAAATACACCAAAAACACGGATTGAGTACCTGCCAGAGGAAGGGGCTACACTAAGTGTTAGAGAGAGAGAGACTCCGCCTGAGAGCTGACACTGATACTGTGGGTTAATATGACAAACGTCTGTTAAAGAACAACGAAAGCACGTAAGCAACAATGCAAAACAGGCAGGACGTAATTACAGGCAAAAATTTCAGGAGAGAAATATTTTTGAATGTTGGAGAACGCAGCGGGCACTTCAGGCTGATGTGGTCGGGACGGGGTCTGTGGAAGGGGCGCAGGCGCACTGAGTCTGATGAATGGTCAGGACTTGACGGCGGAATTCAGGGAGCCACCGTTCCAGGACGCTGTGACTGCCTGAATAGGAAAGGGCATGCTTTTTCTTTTCTGTTCTTTTTTATTTTTGGGGGGGAAAGCGAAAAAAAAACCAAAAAACATGTCATTGGATCCATGAGTTTGAAACAGCTGGAATACTTCCTCTTTTGAGTTTTAATAAAAAATTCATGCCCTGGCTGGTGTGGTTCAGTGGACTGAGTGCTGGCCTGAGAACCAAAGAGTCACCAGTTCGATTCCCAGTCAGGGCACATGCCTAGGTTTCTTCGGGACAGGTCCCCAGTAGGGGGACACATGAAAGGTAACCACGCATTGATGTTTCTCTCCTTCTCTTTCTCCCTCCCTTCTCCTCTTTATAAAAATATCTTTTAAAAAATTCAACCATCATTTCTATGTCTACCTGCTCCAAAACCTATAATGCATTTTTAAAACCTCTGCTGGTAGCATTCATTCTTGACAGAAACGCATAACCTCATTCTCATCAGGAGAAACCCTTAGACAAAGCCGAACGGGGGTGGGGGGGGGGGGCATTCTACAAAATACCCGACCTCTCCCAGGTGCCATGGTCATGAAAACCAGGGAAAGACTGAGAAGTCACCACAGGGCCAGGAGAGACAAGGACAGACCGCAGGAGACTAAGGAGCCGTAAAGGGGAACGTGGGACCCGGCAACAGGAGGGGGAGAGCGGGTGGGAAGCACAACTGGGGTGAGTTTGGCGCTTGAGTTAACCGCTCTGCGCTCCTAACGCGGAGTCCCCGGTTCTGTCGCCGCACGGAGGTCCCGTCGGATGTGCCCCTGAGGGGAGACTGGGTAACAGGTACGTAGGAACTGGAATATTCTGTAAGACTGAAATCAGTTCAAAATAAAAGTTTAAAATTTAAAAGAAGGCTACTGACTAATGTTTCCCAGAAACAATGAAATGTGGTTATCGGATAAAAATAAAGAAATAGAGAATATGCTAAAAAAATCACCAGTTGTCCCGGGAGGCCCACAGGGAAAATGCCCCGTTACACATTAAATTCAGCACAAAACGCAGTTACCCTGCCAGGCACCCGAACTCACAACAAGAAGCAGTTCCATTATGAAAAACAGCTGGGTAATCTATATCAAATATTTTCTCTCTAGTAAATAAACCTGCATCCAAGGGCCTATTTATTCTAAACTACAATGTTCCCCAATGAGATGAGAGGAAACCATCATAAATACAGAAAAAAGACATTCCAACAAATTAAAATACAGAAGAAATGGTGTGTGTTGGAGACGGAATGTCCACAGGAAACAAAGAGACTGAGGAATTAACACTCACCCCTCGCCCACCCTGGTAACACAGTGTCACATTCCGGAAGACAGGAAGCAACAGAGACTGCAATGGAGCAGAAATGCACCGGGAACCAGGAGTCTGCCATGGGCCCTGAGCCCTGACCACGCAGGACAGGGTGTGGTCTCTGTGTGCTCCGCCCACCCGACCAAGCCCAGCGAGTGGTGCCCACTGTCATCTGCCTTTGTAACACATCATCAACCTGAATATGTGGAGTAATCCCCCTTAAATGGGTATTGAGAAACGAAGGGTGCGGAGGACTGAGGTCTAGGAGTCGGCAGCCACACCGTGGCCCATGGGACCAATGGGGGGCAGAGCCAGCTGGCGCACAGGAGGAAGACAACTCAGCAGGGCAGGAAGAGGAGAGGGTTGCAGGCACTTGGCATGAATGAAAGCAAGGTGGACACGAGGGGCAGAAGTGAAAATATCACCCAGGTGTCAGTCCTCAGTGAAATCAACAGCTCAGCCCTCAGCGGGCTGGGCATTGCTCCGCACCTTCGGGTTGTCAATAATCGGGGTGACAACAAGATCCGAGTCTGTGTAGATAAGCTCTCTCATCTGGGACTCCATGTCCTGCTGACTCAGGTGTCCACTGGTGGTCTGAAACAAGGACAAAAATTAGACTTTGTTTCTGGGACCAATGGTGAGCTTTCAGAGCTGAACTAACAGGATGCCAAGTAAAGTCCCCACTGGAAAAGGTCATCTCATCAATGGGCCCCCACTGCTGTTCAAAACATTTTCACCGATGTTTTCATTTGATCTTCATAAAAACCCTAAATCGTATGTACCATTATTTCCATTTTTACAGATGAAAAACAGAAAAAGACCAGAGAAAGTAACCAATCCACTCCTGTGTACCGGATGAGGTTAGGACCAGAAAACAGGTCTCCTGTAGTTTCATGATCTAAACTATGATGGGGCAAATTAGTTTTGCAATTACCAGCATGATTTTTAATCTTTCATCTGCCGAACACTAACCAATTTAATTCTGCTTTATGGAATACGCACTATAAAGTTAAAATTAGAGCAAAAAGAATGTCAGGCTAAAGTACTGACCCGTTACCTAAGAAACACTGTTATCTTTATAAAAACCAGTTGAAGTAGAGCTGATATAGAATTAAAGTGGATAACTAGAGATTTCCCATCTGTTATTCCTTCGAGATGTTTCTTGGTCCTCTACTGAAACAGAACTGTTATTCCCAGAGTTATGCCTCAGTATGTCACCTCAGACAAAAAAGGCAGTTTACGCATTAAGAATTTCCATTGAAACACTGACCAGCAAACTGAATAAAACAGAAAACCAAATCAGTGAAGTGAAAAACGAGGAAAAGAAATTATTCAAAACTGAGGTAGGACCATGGACAATGGCGGAAAGAAGGGGAAGGGATTAGTCAAAGAACATGTATGAGTGACCCTCGGACATGGACAGCGGAGTGGGGATGGACTGAGGGAGGGGGGTAGGCTGTGTGGAGGGGGACAATGGGGGAAAAATGGGATGACTGTAACAGAATAAGCAATACAAATTAGTAATAAAAAATTTTTTAAAAAAGAAACAGATTAGTTAGCTAATAAAGTTACCAAAAACCAATGACCCCTTCTCAACTTAGAAGTCAGACATATTTTTTTGAAAAACAAAAAATATGGAGAGACATTGCAAAAAAATTTGTTTAAGAACATGGACTTTCAAGACAAAGACTTAAAAACAATACAAAATGAATTAACTAAAAATTATTAGAATATAAGAATTAGTGAATATCTACAGTAGTGTCAACAACAAAAAATATAATTATTAAGGCAGACCAATTACAAAATTTATATGTAAAATTAATTTCCTATAGGTAAGTTGAAATATGCATAAATAACAAGTTATAAAACATAGTATTCCAATAGCAAAAAATAAACATGTTCAGAAATACATTAAATGATCAAAAATTACAATGCAACCTCATTTACAAAGTGAAAAAAATTAAGTTATAAAATTATGTTCCTAACCTGGCTGGTGTAGCTCATTGGATTGAGCACGGGCCTGCGAACCAGACAATTGCGGTTCGATTCCCAGTCAGGGCACATGCCTGGGTTGCAGACCAGTTCCCTGCAGGCCAGTTCCCAGCAGGGGACGTACAAAAGGCAACCATACATTGATGTTTCTCTCCCTCTCTCCTTCCGAAGATAAATAAATAAAATATTTTTAAAAAAAAATTATGTTCCTTTGTTTGAAAATGAACATATGCACAGAACCAAAAGTAGGGATATCAAAATGTAATCAGTGATTACTCTGGGTCATTAAATCGTAAGCAGCTTTCTAATTTCTTGTCCTCTTCCACAATTTTATACACTCTTATATGTTTTTTACATTACATAAATTTTCATAATTGAATAAAATAGAATCATTGAAAAATTATAAAACAAATTTCCTCTAGTACTCAGATAACTCCTGCTTAAATCTCGCAATAAAATGATTACAGAAGGACCTGCCAGAAGAAGGGCAGCACCTATCACATCTCGGAGCGCACTCTGACACTGACTTTCTGCCTCACATGTAACCGGACCGTCACTAGCAGAGGGGGACTTCATCACAACCCACCTGCACTTCATGTTAAGGAGGAAATAACTTCCACACAACCCAAATACATCCCACGTTTGTGGAAGAAAACGATACGCTCCCCAAACTGGCCTACGGAGTCAATGCAATTGCTGTCCAGTCTCTGGCTTTCCAAACGCTGACACACCGGATCCTGAACTTCATGTGGAAACACACAAGTTCCAGAAGAGCCAAAACAAACTTTGGAAGGACCACACTCTCTGGCTTCAGAACTTTCTAAAACGCTGCTAGAATCTGCACAATCAGCGTGAGAAGACACGGAGACCAACAGGATAGAACTGAGCCCCAAAACACACCTTCACGTGCACAGTCAAAGGATACTCAACAAAAATGCCAAGGCAATTAAATGGGGGAAAAACAGTCTTTTCAACAAATGGTGACGAGACAAGTGGACATGCACGTGAAAACAATGAAGCTGGACCCCCGACGTAATGCCACGTGTAAAAATTAATTCAAAATGGATGAAAGGCCCAAATGTAAATCTTCATGACCTTGGAACAAACAATGGTTTCTTAGCTACAATGCCAAAAGCGCAAGCAGCAACAACACACACACACACAAGTAGTTTGAACTACATCAAAATTAAAAACTGTCGTCCTCCAAAGAACACCATCAAGAAGGTGAGAGACACCCCACAGAATGGGAGGGAGTGTTTACAGATCACATGTCTATAATATGTAAAGAATTCCTACAACTCAGTAAATGGGCAAAGGGTAGACAATTTTCCAAAGACAAATAAATGACCAATAAGCACGTGAAAGGGTCCCAACACCATTAGCCACCGGAGACGTGAGAATCAATACTATGATGACAATTTCACATCCACTAGGATGGCTGTAATCAACAAGAGATAAGGAAGTGCTATTCCCAACAGCCAGAAGGTTGAAACAACCCAAGTGGCCATCGAAGGTTGAATGAATACACTGGTAGATATACACAATGGAGTATTAGCCTCAGAAAGGCATGCAGTTCTGATAAATACAACAACCTGACGGACCTTGAAAACATGATGCTACGTGACATAAGCCAGACGTAACAGGACAGTATTGTATGATTCCACTTGTATGGGGTTACTAGGGAAATTCACAGAAGCAAAAAGCAGAAGTGGTCAGCGGTGCTGGGAGAAGGGAGAATAGGCTGTCATTTTTAGTGGGTACAGAGTTTCAGTTTGGGACCATGAAAAGGTTCTAGAGAGGGACAGTAGCGACAGTTGTACAACATGAATGTCCCCAACTGTAGAGTGTGAATGCCACTGAACACACTTAAAAATGGTTAAAACGTAATGTGTCTGTTACCACAGTTTTCGTTAGTGGCAGACCACGACGAGATTCGGTGAGAATGTAAAACTGGAACCCTCGTGGGCTGCTGGTGGGAATGTGGAACGGCACGGCTGCTTTGGGAAATGGTTTGGCAGTTCCTCAAAAGGTCAGGCGGAGTGACCGTGCAAGGCAGCTGTTCCCTCGTGCAGATCCAAAGAAAAATTAAAGCGCACGCCCACACAAAGACCTGTTTGCAAACACGCCCAGCAGCATTGCTCACGATGGCCAAAAAGGTGGAAACAACCCAAATATCCATCCGCTGATGAATGGAAAAATAAACTGTGATAATAAAAATTGACAATAAAAAAATAATAAGGAATAAAGTACTGATACATGCTCCAATTTAGATCAATCTTAAAAACATTATGTTAAGTAAAAAAGCCTGTCACAAAAGACCACATTTTACTATTCTGTTTATATATAAAGTATTCCAAATAGGCAAATCTATAAAGACAGAAGGCAGATTAGAGGGTGAGAGGGGAGAGAAATGGAAAGGAACCAGGAGAGAGAGAGAGCAAGGGCTGGCAGGCATGGGGTTTCTCGGTGGGGCGGTGGCAGGGTTCTCAAATTGACAGTTTGACGGCTGTGGAACCCTGGGAATACACTGAGAGCCCCTGGATTGTACACTTTAAAGGGGTGAATTACACAGTAGGTCAATTGTATCTCAGTATAGCTGTCATCGAAAAAAAGGAAGTATAAAGCACCCCTCTCTTAAGTATACTTCCTAGAAAAACCAATGATTATCCAGGAAATGACATAATTACAAACTTTGTACTCACAAACATAGTTCAGGGATCGATTTGCCATCGTTCTCCTGAACGTCTATACTCATGTAAAAACAATCCCGTCTCTGCTCACCTTGGTCAAAGGAGAGGCCTTCTGCGGGGCGTGCTGCACGGCATCCTCGCCAGGACACAAGCCCACTGCCGCGCTGGTCCTTGGAGTGGGGCGGGAACTGAAAGGCACAGACCCGCGACCGTTAGTCAGGTTTACACTCCATCCCCGTTTACTGCAGTCTGGGGAAAATGAAAACACATCCCATGAAAAATGGGAGAGTGGGGTAATTCTACATGATCTCATTATATTAGAAAAAACATTTAAACTTCGTGTTGACACAACACTATTGTTTTTATAACTGTTTTTAAAGTCCTTTCCTGGCTAATTTCTTGTTTCTTTTGTTTACAGCATTTCTGCTCTACTCAGTATTTTCTGTTTTTACTAAAAACCTTAAAACCTTGGTTTTGTTATTTTTTAAGCATCTGCTGGTTTAAAGCAGGATTAACATAAAAAAACAGATCAGATATTCTATAAAAGATGAACAACACCATTTTATTTCAGAAAATGTTTGCTATGGAAAGTCACCTTGGTGCCTACTGAGTGACGGACAAGTTGTATAAAATCTGTGTCTATTTTTACTGGTCCCTCCTACACTGACCAACGACCACCGTACACTCGAGGGGCCACTCCATGACACCTGGGTCCCTGGTTTTGAACTTTTCGAATTTTAAGAAATTCACTCAGCTCTCCAGAGTCTTCTGTAGCGAATTCCTTCAAATTCCCAAAAATCAGCATTCACGCCTCTCTTTCACTTATCTGTATATTCATTCATTAAGCAAATACTAGCACACCAGGCCTGACAGCGAGTGTGCAAAGTGTTTTTTAAAAAAACCCGAATTGTGAAAGCCAGGACAACAGGTGCTGTAGGAAGATGTACTCTCACCTCCCATCCCCGCTCCGTCGATTTACGAACCTGAGAAGAAACATGGACTCGGTCTGTTGACCCCCGAGAGTGTTCTTGGGCCGCAGCTCGGCTGGGTTTTCTGTGGCAGGAGAGAAGGGTGTCATAAAGGAACAAAGTATCATGAGCCGGCGTCGTGCAGAGACATGAAGAGGAAGACAGTGCAAAGGTGGAAGGAACGCTCGGAAACAGCGCTCCGGGCAGCACGCACGTGCTCAAATGCAGGCCCACCTGGTCTCAAAGAGTGACGCGGTCGCTGGCCGCTCCTCTCCCCCAGGGCCTGTCCACTCGGAGGGCTCTTCAGAAGCTCCCTGGGACCCTGGGACCCAGAGCACTCCACCAGGTTTCTGCCGTTCAACAGGAGAAAGTCAGCACAATCGAACTCACTTCTCGGCTTTCCGTATAGTTGTGTGTACAGAACGAGAGGTTGGAAACCATCATTAAATTACACGTGACATCTGGCACAGCCATGGAGTTAGAAAAGTAATATTTTCCACTGAGCAGTGGAAATAAGCACACCATAAGCAAGGCACTGTGTGAAGAAGTCTACGTGCCTTACCCCCGGAAAATAAATAGCAGCAGGCAGACTGGGAAGCAAACCAGAACTCGAAGCGCCAGTCAACCAGCAGGGAGTCTCCTTTCCAGTGAGTCCTGCAGTGCGTTTTCCCCTCCAGGACTGCCCAGCCCAGGCTCACAGGCAGCCAGTTCAGAGAAGCCGGAAGAAGCCCTCTATTTCTGTTCCAAGGAAGAGGAAAGGAGCCCCCTTGGGTCAGAGCAGGGGAAGTTGCTCAGGTTTTGTTTCTCTTTTTCCCTGTAGTCCTGCCCTGGCCTCCAGGTAATCCTGCAGCTGCTGGCTGGGAACAGCTGCAGGGAGGGGCATCCTCTTCTCTAAGCGAAAAACTTATGATCCCAAGAACGTGATACAAATGCCCATCACTCTGCTCTCTTTATTCACCTCTCTCACTGTCCTCCAGACACATGCCACAAGCACACCCAGCAAGACATAAAAAGTAGAAAACGCAGTGACTAAGTGGGGTTTATTGTGGGAATGCAAGGCTGGTTCGATATTTGAAAACCAGTTTATGAAAGAGTCCACAATGAGAGTCTACATAAGAAACTGTAGGGAACCGCTTCTTGTGGTGTGGAAATGTAACTCAGCACTCACGTGGAAAACCAGTGGGGACTGAGTAGCACACAGGACCATGCCTGCGGAGAGGTTTTCCTGTGGGGAATCAGGCCTGCATTGTACCTAGACTGCTATGAGACTTGCTTTTGCTAAAACTCCCTCACCCTGAATTGAGGCAGAAAGTGCTTACTGCAACTTCCTAAACTCTGAGCTAAACCTCCCCACTATGCAGTGTAATCACTCCAACCACTTTTCCCCTTGGTCTGCAACATCCTTCTCTTTGAAGAAATTAGCAACATTCTTTCCTTTGTTATTTGTAAAAGGTAATCACCTGCAGTGAACCTGTGCATAGTAAATAAGGACTACACTCCATGTAATGTACCCAGAAAAGCAATAAAAGCCTGTCCAGACAGGGACTGGGACACTGGGACCTCGGGACCTTGGGCCCTCTGGCCCTCTCTCTCTCAGAGAGTGGCCATGCTGTCCCTTTTTCTCCACAGGACTTCTGTTGTCCGTGTGTATTTGCTCACTAGCAGTCACAACACACACAGATCCTGCAGGCCAGGATCTGCCACAAGAAATACCCCATGGTCCTATCAGCTAACACATAAGGACATCTGATCAAATTCGACAGCCATTCAAACTGAAAAAGGGCAGCTACAGAAAACTCCAGCTCAGTGTCCTTGATGGGGAAAGGTGTTTTCATCCTGCAAAGAAACCAGGCCAGGATGTTCATCACTCTTGATTCAGTATCTTACTGAAAAAAAAAAAAAATCCTATCAAGGGCAATAAGGCAGGAAAAGGAAGCAAAAGGCATAGAGATTCAGAGGAAGAGGACAGACTGAGGTCAGAGGTGTTCTGTGACTTGCTGATGCTGAGGACGAGAGCCCAGCTTTCTGCAGGACCCAGGACCACGGTGAGCACCCAGCTGAAACTCGCTGGCTCCGAGAAACTCCCGTTTGGGAAAGACTTTAAACAGAATTCGGCCTTCTCTATCTAACACGCTGAATTTGACAACATTAAAATTAAGAATCAGACAACCATGTGAGTTATGGGAGGTAAAAATCAATTCATTGGACTTTACCTCTACATTCAACTACTTCTCACCCGCTCTTTTCAAAATGCCATCACGCTGTAAGTGGTAGGGGCTAAGAAGATTTTTATAATAAAGTGTATCAGTCAGGATGAGCTGGGTTAAGCTGTGGTGACATACAACCCTCAAACGCCAGGGGCAGAGAATCTCCTAACTTTATGTCTTACACACACAGCCATGAAGGCTGGTGGGAAAGCTCTGTCCTCGTGGTCACTAAAGACCCATCCAGCCCTACCGCAACTCTGTATTGACATTCTCTTCCCGATTACTTCACCGGGAGAAGTTTGGAAAATCATAACAGGCTCTTAGAGATCCTGTCCAGAAATAACACCCATCACTTCTGCCCCCATTCCATTGGCCAACACAAGTCACATGACCACACATAACTGGAAGCAGGGAAAGGAGGTGGGTCCTACCATGTGCTTGTAAGGCGGGAAGCCACTTACAGTGGGTAAAAGAACTATTGACTGCCATCCTAAATCACTGGCTGGAGTGTACACAACTGATGGGAAAGGGGAAAGGTCATGGTTTCAATTCCTTCCCAGTCAAGGCACACACCTGTGTTACAGGTTCTGTCCCCGAGTCAGGACCCATACAGAGGCAATCGATGGATGTTTCTCTCCTGCTCTTTCTCCCTCCCTTCCCCTCTCTCTACAAACAGATAAATAAAATCTTCAGGATGAAAATGTCATGACTAAATTGTCTAAACATCCCTTTAACAAATGCTTGATTTTTCTATCATGAAAGCATAGAAATCCCTGTCACTGACGCTGCGTTATTAGAATAGCAATGGGTGGGAGTGCTTCATAACGATGCCCCACACACCGAGATGGGCTTATCCTACCTGATGCCGGAATCCTCGGCGCCCGAGTCCTGATCTTTTCTAGTGAAAGCATCCTTCCAAAATGAGTGTTGCAGTAGACCTGCCCAAGTTAATCTTTATAAGACACAAATGTTAAAACTCTATGTTAACATGACTTTACCATGGAGAATTCCCAAGACACGCCCCAAATATATGAATCAAACTTCATAATTGATAACCTGCTTCATACAAACGGACCTCTGAGATTGCTTCCTATTTTACTCTTTCATTTTGGTATGTAATTAACCTAAGACAGCAATAAATAATCCAGAAACCTTAACTGGTACAGAATGAGTCTGACCGCTAAGTGTTAGAGGTCTCAAGATTCCATGGAGTCTGATTGAAAAAAACATTTCGGGCTCTCGAAATTGTCAATTAGGAAATCTATAAATAATTTAAAATTTAAAGTAAACAGATCACATATTCTCAACCTACAGTTCTGTCACCTCTTCTGTTCCAGGACAGGCTAGATCACCCTACACATTCTGTTTTTGGAACTGCACTTTTAGAACTTCATTCAGAAACAAACGAGAATATGTTTCATGACTACACGCAGCCACACCTCTGTTTAGGTGTCAAGATCTTACCTAGCTAGTTCGCCCACATGAAAATGACTTTCAGCTCTATCTAAAACCCAGACTCACTTTCAAACGTTAAGTTTTACTACTAATAGATTATTATACCTCTAGGCATACTCATCAGACTCGGAAAGGTCGAGGCTGATTAAAATTTAGAACAAAAAGTGAAAATAATTTATATTTGGCAACTTATTCAAAGGTTCTGTATTGATCAAAATTGTAACACTGATGATAGAGAGAGAGAATTTGCAACCATAGATAATATCCCTGTTACACAAGGGCTCTTAAATTTCACTAATGGAGAAATAAAGTTGCCAATAAAATGGAATTCCTTTTTCATCCATTAAATGGGTGAAAATGTCTGAGACCAACAAAGCCCACGGCAGGGATGTAACGGCGGCAGGGAAAGGGCTCGCTAACGCTGCTGGTGTGCAAACCGTTCCTGGAATGCAGCAAATGTACCAACTCTTTAACGTTCTCAGCCTTAGGCCAGCAACCCATGCCAAGAAATTAATCCAAAAGAGAAAACTGCCCAAATGAACAGTAACAAAAGTATTCCAAAGGACATTTACTGTAGCGGTGTGCGTGATGTTCTAAAGCAAGACACATTCTAAATGTTTATTGTTGTCATAGGTTATTGCTTGTACATGCTTCAGCCATTCGAAATGACTAAGCAGATATACAGAGAGAAAAAAGTAGGTTATGAAGTGGTCCCATTTATGCAAAAAAAAAGCATATAATATAGAGATATACATATGTGGAACTGTAGATATATCATCCTAAATAAAGTACATTTATGTTCTATCAAAAGATGTCTGGAAGATTACCCACAAAAATAACATTAGTCCTAATAGCATTCTATTATAAGCATAGGAGGTTTGTCCTACAACTTATACAACAACCAGCATTTTGCCCTGGCATGTGGCTCAGTGGACTGAGTGCTGGCCTGCAAACCAAAGGGGCACAGGTTCCATTCCTAGTCAGGGCACATGCCTGGGTTGCACACCAGGTCCCCAGCTGGGGCCACATGAGAGAGGCAACCACTACTGATGTTTCACTCCCCCTCTTTCTCCCACCCTTCCACTCTGTCTAAAAATAAATAAGTAAAATCTTTAAAAAGGAAAAAAAAAGAACCAGCATTTCCTCATTTCCTCCTGCAAGTCCTCCCTTATATTTCATGAGGATAGAGAATGGAGTATTTCATACACCATACCAAATATATTCATCATTTTACACCCTGAAGCAGGGACCCCAATACTTGTTGAACACTCCCTCGCCCTCCCTGCAGTGACCTGGTGGCAGAACCGAAACTAGAAGCCAGCTGCTCTCATTCCCAGGGAGTCCCCCTCCCCACACACACTGCCCCTGACCATGCCACAACACAGAAAAGTCACACTGCACCTTCTGACGGGACGGGAGCATCATAACACATCACACACTGAAGCACCACTCAGTGTCACCGCACTGACTACCTCGGCGGGACGGCCCCCAGCCCATGGTCTCAGGCAGGTGCAGCCTGGAACCTACAATGACAACAACTTCGGGGCTCGGATTTGGGAGTCGCAAGAAAACCCATCCAGCTACTCGGCAGGTACTTAATACAGTGAAAGAGAAAGTGACTTAAAAGTCCTCATGCTTAAAAACTCCTATGAAGAGAAAACACCCAGTGCAAACTCAGACTTTCCTTTTCAAAAAAAGTCATTTGAACGCCTCCTTATATATTAAGAATAGTACTGTTTCAGAAGCGCATGAAAGAAAAAAAAAAAGGATTCCGCTATTCATTCACATTAAAATATCATCCATACATACCTTTTCTGAGGATCTTTCTGAAGTAAACCATCAAGCAAATTAATAAAATCCGAAGAAGCTTTAGGAAGAGAAGAATCTGTACACAAAATTAATTCCCAAAAAGGGTGGAAAAAAGAGATAAAAAGATTAATACACACCCTACATCAACATTTAAAGTCACAGTATGTTAAGCACATGAATTATTTTAAAGAGAACACTGAATCTATCAACAACAATTAAGCTTTCATTTAAATAGAAGGGAGTGGAGCACAAAATACTTTTGAAAAAAATTTTTAAAAAGACATTTTTTCCTAGCTCTGGCTGGGTCGTTCAGTTGGTTAGAGTTATCCCAGAAACTAAAAGGTTGCAGGTTCGATCCCCAGTCAGAGCAAATACCTAGGTTGTGGGTTTGATCCCCGGTCACAGCACAATCAATGTTTGTCTCTCACACTGATATGTCTCTCTCTCTCTCTCTCTCTCAAATCAATTTTTAAAAAAGCATTTTTTCCCAGACTACAAAAACATGAATCTCAAAAACCAACTTTTGACTAACCCCTAAAATCACTTTACTGAATAACCCCAGTAAGGATTACCAGTCTGACAAACCCATACTCTCGTCTTCAACGACTAGTTAGGCCTCATTTCCTGAGGCACTATCATTCTGACCAACTTTGCTTTACAATATATGATGATTAGAATACTGGCAATCGCTCTGCATTTTCAGCAGGAAAATAATAAGCATCACAATATTATGATGTTGTTCAATTTTCCAAACCTCCAAGTTTTGCCTCTTTTAACTAGACAAATATACGAGTATATACCATGACCAAGTGATCAGCAATGGTTAAAAGAAGGGGCCATGGAGATGATGGCCAGTGACACTGCCACGCACCCCTGAGACAGAGCAGTGGAAACAGATGGCACCGTCAGGCACTCCGGCCACAGTGTGACAGAGGACGGTGACGTAAGCAAGCTTGGCCACCACTGGTGTCTCGACTGGACCTATGGCACCTTTGTTTTCAGATTTCTTCCTTGCATAAAAACCTTTAACTTATAAAACAATAATCAATACTCTATTAAAAGTCATCAATATAAGAAATAGCAATGACCGACTTTTACAAAAACTAAGACACAATGAAAAAAATGCAGCGTTTTGTTTTAAGAAATATAGACTCTTTTCAAAATATCCAGTCCTATTTTCTTCACCTAGGGTGTTCCTGAAATACTGAAAATATTCTGTATTCCTATTTTTTCCATTAATTAATCCTGAAGGTTTTTTTTTCTTTTAAAAATTGCCAACATCTTTTTTAAAGTCCTGTTTTTGTGTCTTAAGATTCACTTTTTTTGTGGTGTACAGCAAACTGCTTTATTATGTCTGTGCTGTATTTTGGGGATTTTTCCTTAAAATTGTTAGGGGTGGATGGTTATACTAAGCACAATTTTATGATTAAAATTTCAACACTTGCAATACTACATACAATTCCATCTCCTTTAAAAGACTTTAAAAACTTGCCAGGGTCGAATTCTAATTCATCAAGATAAGGGCTGCAAAGGCCTGATCGTTACTATTCAAACACTAATTAGAAATAACTAGTTATTTCACAAAGGACACGAGTCCAAATTAAGTAAATGGTGCATAAACAAAAAATAACTGAGAGTTTGAGTTTTCTAAATCTTTAAACCACCTAAGTCATCTCTTGTTATAGGAGCACAAAATAATCTGTGTTTTCAAATGAGGGAAACCATTGTACTTTACTTTCCATTCCAGTATTTTTTTGTCATTGGCAAAGGGAAAGCCAATATTTCTAAAAATATAAATTGGGACTATGTTTTTCTTAAGATTTTATTTTTTTATTTTTAAAGAGCGGGGAAGGAAGGGAGAAAGAAAGGGAGAAAAGCATCAATGTGTGGTTGCCTCTCGAGCGCCCCCCACTGGGGTCCTAGCCCGCGACCCAGACACGTGCCCCAACCTGGAATGGAACCAGTGACACCCTGGGTTGCAGGCCAGAACTCAATCCACTGAGCCACACCAGCCGGGGCCAACTGGAACTACTCATAAAATATAAATTGTGGAGATTACGAATTGATAAAAATAGACAATTAAAGTGTACCTTTTAGTCAGTGTAAAGTGTAAATTCACTGCATTTGTAATAAAAATCCTACCTTTTGGAATAGGTGGCAAAGGATCTTCATAAAAAATCTTTTCAATTAATTCTGAAGCTCTTTCTGAGAAAAATGGAGGTTTTCCTGAAATTACATGAAAACCTGTCAATGACACAAATTTGCCATCCCCAATCATTCCTAACAAATCCCAAGTGCAGAGAGGTTGGGACTGCACGACTGGCAAATGTGTGTGCAGTGACAACTAATTACTGAATGTCTAGTGCATTACCAGCACACTGCATATTTCTGTATTTCTAACATTCAAAATTCGGCCCCCGTTTACAAAACACAAGTTCACGCATGGACCACTACCATGATCCAGGCAGGGTTTGGGTGGGCCGCTGGGTACCTGCAAATCATTCAGTCCCAGGTACCTGTACAGGGATTTCTTCTACTGATCGCGGCTTTTTAATAGTTAGGAAAATGTCAACATTCCAGGTGATTTATCACGAAAAATAGTAACCCGCACATGCCTGGACCCCAAACAATCCGGCCAAAATCAGTACAAAGGCTTAGAAGAGCCAGCTTTTTCCCACCTTGTAGATAAAATGTTTGCCAACCACAGATTTAACCTTTGTGTTTGTCCAGCTCTGAGTTTAAAGCAAACCAGGAAGTAGTCACCTGCGAACATCTCATACAGCAGACAGCCTAAAGACCAGAGGTCGCTGGCGATGGAGAAGTCACCGCCCTTTACGATCTCCGGTGCCGTATATACAAGTGACCCTAAAAATAAAGAGTAAACAAGACTGTTAGGTATTTGCATTGTTCTCAACACAAACCTACCTGAGAGAGTCCTGATGGGGTAAAAAATATATATATATGGGAGGAAAGGGTGCACACAAATATAACTTCAGGTGTATTCCAGTGTTTTCTAATTTTAAGGTTCCAGTGTACAAGGCTCTGGGTTTTATCACAGAAAACACCTGTGAGAAAAAAGGGGGTGAACTGGCCAGACCACAGTGCAGACTGGGCCCTGAGGGCAGGAAGAGAACCAGGAGACGCCCTCGACTGTATTCATCATGAGAAAGGGACAAGTGGCTACTGAGCCACTCGTGCTGGCCAAGTGCTGTTCTAAGAGCTGATGAGACCGCGCACAGAGAGACAGAACACCTGCTCCTCGTGCTCTAGCTCGAGGTCAGGGCCAGGTAGAGGCAAGGATCAGACACAGACTGTCGGGGCTCCCCACGTCCTGCAAGGCATGAGGTCTGCACGGGAAACTTGAGGCCATCGACGAAGCCAGCCCTGTGCCCGGACTTCCCCTGGTCACTATTATTATCCACACGTCACTTGACTCGCAAAATAAATGGTCCACCATTAGAGCTATGATCTTACACACTCCACATACCTCTGACTCTACTTTTCATGTTTCTCTTCAGAGCATTTTCGCCGCTATCACCTCCGCCTTCTTCGGTTGCCATCAGAGCAAAGAACTCTTCCAAATTTTCGCCGTCCACTTTGGCCAGGCAAAAATTACTGAACTTCAGTGTGCCGGGCCCTTCCAAGAGTATCTACGTGGATTAAAAAATAAGCGCGTTCAGAAGCCGACTCAATCTGCACTGGCCTCCGTGCCTCTCACATCCTCACAAAAGCACTCGGAGCAGTGGCTTTCTGGCTTCATCCCAACTCATGAAATTCAACGCTTACATTTTCTTATAAAAAGAATCTCAAGAAAAATAAACCCGACATTTGAGGAAGAATAAGTCAAATACAAAATGGTTCATTCTAGATGCATATAATACAAACATCACGCGAGCACAGAGGGGAAACCTTAGGCTTCTACGAACAGTGTGTATGAACAACCTACCCTCTCTAATCCTCACTGACAGCGAGAGAAAGACTTGAATACCCACCCGCCGGAGGTAGCGTTTACCTAACGCACCGTTAAAACTCGGGTTTTGGAGTTAGAGGTCTACATTCGAGCCGTAGGCCCAGCACTTACAGGCGATCTGACCTGGAGAATTTACTTAACTTTTCTAAAGCTCAGTCTCTTCACTTACAAAATGAAAGAAATTATACTTAACTCTTCAGACTGTCATGAGGACTAAGGTTATACAGGCAAAGGGCGGTGAACTGTGATTGGCCTGTGCTAAGCACCCGAGTCTGTTAATATAATTTGTGATTAGAAGTTATCTGTTGATTGCTAAAACCATGCCAGGAACCAATGTCCTATTACTTTTAGTTTTTTCTCCAGAGTCATTAATTTATGGGAAATATTCCCGTCAAATATTTACAGGAAGTTACAGTGAGCCAGCTGGCATTTTGTTTGTCAAAGCAAAGCAAAGTTGGCCTTTAACCTCTAATCTCAAATACTAAAGATGTCTGTTAAAAGTCCCGGTGACTTTTAAATGGTTTTGAGCACCAGGATCCCTGGAAGACTAGTTGGAAAACAACTACCAGTACCCACCACCCCCAGGATTTCTGAGTTAGAGGGCCAGGGGTGAGCCCCAGGTAACACTAAGGCCGCTGGTCCGGGGAACACCTTTGAGAACCAGTGGGAGGGGTCAGCAGTTTTTTCTTCAAGTTAATAAATCCTTCAGACTTGGCAAGCCCTAGGTCCTTGTCCCGACCACTCAGCTCTGCAACCACCAACAATACATAAAAGAGAGGGTGTGGCTGTGTTCCAACGAACCTCACTGCCAGGACCGGGCATCCTACCTGCAACCAGGCAGCCCCAGCTCTAGAATAAAAGTCACACCGCACATGGGCCTGGACTTCCCAGGTTACAACCGCTGATAGCAGACCTCGTGCAGTAGCTCCCGCACAGCGGCCGGCACACCACAGCCTCCGGGCCAGACCCCGGCCAGTGCTCGTGCCTGTGTGGGCAGGAGCCAGGAGAGGTTTTGGCATTTCTAAGTGGCTGAAGAAATGAAGTAAGATCATATTTCTCGACATGTGGAAATTATACGAAATTCAGGCCCTGGCTGGTGTGGCTCAGTGGATTAAGCTCCGGCCTGCAAACCCAAAGACCGCCAGTCGATTCCCCGTCAGGGCACGTGCCTGGGTTGCAGGCCAGGTCCCCAGTGGGGGCCACGTGAGAGGCCACCACACATGGATGTTTCTCGCCCTCTCTCCCTTCCCCTCTGTCTAAAAATATAGTAAATAAAAGAAAATGACATGAAATTCAAATTTCAATGTCCATGAAATAAAGCTTTATTGAAACAAACCACACCTATGCATTTAGACCCGGCCTATGGTTGTTTTGGGCCTTTATACCCACAATTAAGTGACTGCAGACTTCAGGCAAGTACGAGAGTGTTTCAAATAAAAATTTTGATTCACTGTGAGGAGTTTTTATGGAGTTTTTTAGGTTGAACTGTGTTCTTACACAGATGTCTCATAATGATGATTAACAAAAAAACCTCAGTTTTTCACTTCCCTGTGCTCACACTGGCAAAGGAAAAGGCGCGACTTGACCAGTAATCGACACGATCCCTAAGAGCAGGTCATTACAAAGACAATAACTGAGTCCGCTGATCACGCACCAGAAGTGTCCCAGAAGCTTCTCCTAAATAGGACATGTAACCCTTCCAGTCGCCCAGAGACACAGCCGGAGGCACAGAGGGAAGAGGGCTCCTGAACATCAGGGCCGACCATGAGGAAGAACTAAGTGGGTTCAGGACGGCTACACCGCAGCACATTCAGTCATGGAGAATTATATTAACACAAAATATATGTGCATGTGTGATCCCTAATATCAGGAATCAAACATAAGTAGCCAAAAATGCCATTATCAAACTAAAATAATGGCTCATAATTGTGTACTGTAAGAATGAGGAGTCCAGGACTTCCGCCAAGATGGAGGTTTAGCTGGATGTGCCGTGCCTCCTCACACGACCAAGTTTAGGGACAACTAAATATTAGCATCAGAAAACACAACCAGAACACGGAAAACTGAACTTTTCGGAAGTCTGCTAACAACAAATTCTTCAGCCCGACCGGTAAGGGGCGAAACCGGCGTCGGGTGAGGAGTTACAAAGGAGGGCTCGGTCGGACCCGGGCGCGGAATCCAGACGCGCGAATCCAGTCGCGCGGGTTCCAAACCCAGGATTGGACCTAGTGAGCGACCGAGCGGCCCACCGGATGAGCGACTACGGAGGACACAGTGGGGAAGCGGTGGCAGCGAGTTGACTGTGATTGCCTGGTTGCGCGCGAGTGAGGGAGTGAGTGGTTGGACTGGCGGCGGCGGCGGCGGCGACGCACCATTTCCCCGCTCTGACCACGCCCCCACATACAGCGTCACAACCCAGCGACCTGGGACTCCAAGGCGCCGCTTTTCCCACTTAAAGGGCCAGAACAGACCAAAAATGTCGCAGGGAGAACTCAAAGCCCCAGAGATAAATCTAAATGACGAAGAAATAGCAAAACTCTCAGACGCACAGTTTAAAACACTGGTCATCAGCTTCCTCACAGATCTGGTGGATTATAGCCACAAATTAGAGAAACATATGAAGGCTAAATTAAGGGAAATGAATGGAATTCCACAGGAAACCCATAGAGATGAAAAGGAAACTGGGACTCAAATCAATGGAGTGGACCAGAAGGAAGAAAAAAATGATCAAACAGAAAGGAATGAAGAAATAAGAATTCAGAAAAATGAGGAGAAGCTTAGGAACCTCCAGGACATCTTTAAACGCTCCAATATCCGAATTATAGGGGTACCAGAAGGGGGAAAGACACAACCACCAGTGGAAAAACTATTTGAACAAATAATAAAAGAAAATTTCCCCAATCTGGCAAAGGAAATAGACTTCCAAGAAATCCAAGAAGCCCAGAGAGTACCAAAAAAGTTGGACTCAAGAAGAAACACACCAAGGCATATCATAATTACATTAGCCAAAATTAAAATGAAGGAGAGAATCCTGGAAGCAGCAAGAGGTAAGGGGACAATCACCTACAAAGGAGTCCCCATCAGGCTGTCAGCAGATTTCTCAAAAGAGACCTTACAGGCAAGAAGGGGCTGGAAAGAAATATTCCAAGTCATGAAATCTAAAGACCTACAACCAAGATTGCTCTACCCAGCAAAACTTTCATTTAGAACGGAAGGACAGATAAGGTGCTTCTCAGATAAGACCAAATTCAAGGAGTTCATCATCACCAAGCCCTTATTATATGAAATGTTAAAGGGACTTATCTAAGAAAAGAAGTTAAAGAAACATGAACAGTGAAAGGACAACAAATTCACAGTTATTAACAACCACACCTAAAACAAAAGCAAACTAAAAGGACAGCTAGATCAGGAATGGAAACATAGAAATGATCTCAAGGAGGGTTAGCAACAGGGGAGTGGGAGGAGGAGATGGGGGGAGAAGGTACAGAAAACAAGTAGCATAGACAGTAGATAGAAAATAGATGGGGGGGGCAAGAATAGTATGGGAAATATAGAACCTAAAGGACTTGAGACACATGGACATAAACTAAAGGGGGGTAATGGTGGGGTTGGGGGGCAGGGGTGGAGGGGAATGAAGGGGGGAATAGAACAACTGTAACAGCATAATCAATTCAAAAAAATAAATAAATTTTAAAAAAATAAAAAAATAAAAATAAATTTAAAAAAAAGAATGAGGAGTCCAGCCCCAACCGGTGGGGCTCAGTGGGCGGGGCTCAGTGGGCGGGGCATCGTCCCGCAAAGTGAAGGTAGCAGCCTGGGGTGTGGGTTCGGTGCCCCGCCGGGGTGTGGATGAGAGGCAACCCATCGATGTTTCTCTGTCAGATCAATGTCTCCCTCTCTCCTTCTCCCTCTCTCTAAATATAAATAAATAAAATCTTTAAGAAAGAAGAACGAAGAGACTTTTTTATAGATCTGCTGACCTCATCATCTGCAATACATTTCAGCAGTGGCAATTACTCAAAGCTCTGGTATGAGGGGAAGCTCTGCTTTCCAGAAAGACTTCAACGGGTAGCTACACAGGGAGCGAAAATGCAGTTTCCTTTTATTTAAAAAAAAAAAAGTGTTAACTTAAATTCACCAGGGGAGAAAAAAGGCAACATAAGATTTCTCTCCCTCTCTCTGTCCCTTCCCCTCAAAAGATAAATAAATAAAAATCTTTAAAAAAAAAAATTTCAAGATGTTCTATACCTAAAATCGTATCTGAAAATAAAATGACCTTGACAAAGCCCTGCGAATTAAGACAGAAGCAGTCAGGAAATCAAAGCCTTACCTTCCCAGGAGAAAGGTCACAAAAGACAACGCCAAGCTGATGGAGATGGTGCAGTCCGGTAACCAGGTCGAGCCCGAACCCTCTCACAACATCTTCTGGGAGGTGTTCATCTTGAGCAATTACCATTTCTAAGGAGCCACCTGCAAGTGCAATCACATCACACGTTTTAACCCCCCAACATTACACAGCGCCCCCCGGAGGCTCCACACTGGGACACCCTGAGCATGAAAAAAAAATATCAGGTCAGGACACCTGGACAGCCTCCTAGGGGACACACACATTCCAATAAGAACAGCTGACACGGGCCCCATCAGCCATCTGCATCCGCGCTCCAGGGCCAGCTCAGCCCGGACGGCTGGTCAAGAAGAGAGTGAGAGGGGCAAAGGACTTCTCATTCCAGATCCCTCAGGGGACAAACAGCTGCAACAATCTGCGGTGACCACTAAACCAAACAGTGCATTTCGATCGCACTCTGCCAAGTACAGTCACTTTGACTCCTGCGTGAAGTCAGGTCATATCCTGCAAAGTACTGCATGACGGGGCCTTTCCTTAACTGTCAGAAAACCACGCCCTCGGTGCACACCACTGATGGAACGATGCGCCAAAGGCAGGCACAGGGGGAGTTGCATCTCTGTACCCTTCTGGGGTCCCGCTCCCATCTCTACCATCCAAGTGCCAGAGAGGAATTTTTTTAAACTGATATGAACAGATACTATACTTGATCTTAGCCAAAAGGCCGAGAAGTGATGAGAAACTTTTTTTAAGGGTCAAGACTAAAACAAGCGTCAGGTTCAGAGAAAGTGAAGTCTTAGCTGGCACCTGGAAGTTCAATCAGAATTGACAGCTGTGACGAAAGTAGGAGGTGTTTTTGGTTTTGTTTATTCGGTTTCGGTGCGTGAGGAAGCACTGCAAACACAGGCATAAATTAAAGTTAGGTAATTGCACAGGTCAGGGGTCAGAAACCACAGCGGAAGCAAAAAGCGACCCCGAGTCTCCTGAGGACCTCATCAGTGTGCCCACCTGGGGACGCAATGAGGCCACAGCCCTACTGACTTAGAAAAATGAAATATGTGGAAACTTATTCTATGCTTTGGTCTTACAAATTCTAAGTGCCAATAGGTAAGGCTCATAAAACTTCAAATAATTACAATGTATCTTAATATTTGATTCTTTATTTTTCTCAAAGTATAAACAGACATATACTAACCTTGGCACTAGTTACATTTTTTTTTTTTTCTAAGAAAGACACTGAAACTGAAAGCCGGATAATATCTATGTATCTAGTCACCTTTCTCCCTGTGTGCAGTCCTGGAAAGTCGTACCTAGCAAAGGCTGTGACATGCTAGCTCTAATTATTCCTAAGTGGTAGCATTTGTTGACTCATATTTACACTTTTCCACATTGCTTAAGCTTTTATAAAGACCAAGTACTGTTCCCAAAAAAATCACTGTGTGAACTAGTAACCTAATTAATAGCTAGTTGACCTAAAATACTTTGTTCAAATGGAAAAGGTTGCTTGATAAATTATCACTAAAAAAAGTTTCTAAATTTTTATGTAGATGGCTTAGTAATATTTTCTACCAAAGTAAGTTAACCTCAAACTGAATTTTACATAAATCTTTTTCTCACCCTACATCTTAGCTCATTCCCCTTCCCTAATGTCCATCGAACAACAGATTTTCAAGTTAACGTAGCTGGTAGTACTGACACTTACATTTGCAAAAGAAAGGGAAGTAACAAAACCCACAGGGCGCGACTCGACTCACCTGTGCAGAGTTCCACGACCAGCCAGAGATGGTTGCTGGTTTCATACCATTCGTGAAAAGTGACAATGTTCTGGTGTTTAATTTCATGGGTGAGGCGCACCTATAAAAACACACCACATTCAAACTAAAAAAAAAAATTTTTAAACCTTTGCATCTGTTAAAAAAAACACCTAAATACACAATTGGGGAATGGGTAAAAAATAATTGAATTCATTTGGTGGAATTCTTTATGGACATCAAAATGATGGCTATAAAGGCCAGTCCCGTGGAAAAATGCTAATTTAGCATATTATCTTAAAAATGACTTTTTAAAAACTTGTGTAATTCAGTTATATGTATTTGGGTAAATATACTATTGCAAAAGAAATAGTATTCATAGGAAAATGATGGAAAGATAGTCATCAAAAAAGCTATTGTAATGAGCAGAATTACTGGGTTTTTTATTCTTCTACTTTTTTGATTTTCTGTATTAAGTACACACTATTTTGATAATCAACCTTTAGTAAGGTAAAACAACCTAATTGCTCAATAATACAACAATAATTAAGTAAGTTGTATATCAACTTACAAAATAATGTTTGGCCAACATTAAAATGTTTATTTAATTTTATATTAACACAGAAATGACAGTGTTATAATATTAACTGAAAAAGGCAAGAAACAAAATTATAGACTGTCATGGTAAGACAATTATTTTTTTAATTTATTTTTTTAAATTGCTGTCCTGTACCAGAGGGAGAAAAACATACTTGACTTACCCAGTTGGTTATTTCAGGCCTTTTGCACTTATCAGTGCAAAGAATAGCTACAAAATTGATGGTTCCCTTCCGGCGTCCCTTATAGACAACGGTCTTGCTTCCCCGGCCAATCTCCTCGTACAGAATGAAGTTTTCCATCTCCAAGCCGCCTTCTCACACTTGGCAAAACGACAGCCTGAGAGCATCTCTAGCTCCTAAAATGTAGACAAAAATGACACACATACACGCAAGTTGGCTGAATGGCTAATTAACCCAAGATATGTAATATATAAGTAAATGCAATAATTCTATAAATTCATGGAATTCACCCACAAGTAAGTATTGGATACCAGTGTGAAGAAACACTTCACAAACCAATATTTAACTTCCTAAAGATGTTAACAAAAATAACGAAAATGACAGCTGCTTCTAACACATGTAACAAAATCAGGAAATGAATGCAACTTCAGCTGATGTATCTTGAGGCCTTTGTTACAATGGAAAGCACATTGTGTCGACATCTGTATAAAGAATTGAATAATATATGCCCCATTAAACTTCAAATTATGAGGAGCAAATGAAACAATGTGTGTAAAAATACTTTTATAAACAAATACAGAAAGATGATAATATTTCCATCTAATCCACAGAAATTGTGCGTAGGTACTATTCAAAGTCAGACGTCAGCAAACTACGGGTTCCTGGGCCAAATTCAGCCTGTTGCCTGTTTTTGTAAATAAAGTCGAATTGGAACATAGCCACACCCACCGCATTTATATATCATTTAAGGGCACTGTCGTGGCAGAGTTGAGTAGTTGTAGGAAACCGTCTGGCCTACTCACATACTCTAAAATATCTACTATCTGGCCCTTTACAGAAAAAGTTTTAAATAAAGATTATTTTTTTTAACCAGTCACTTAATCATCTGCAATATAAGCACTTAAGAGTTAATTTTCTTGGCCAACAAAATCCCCTAATTTTTGTGAATAAATAAGGATTTGATGTAATCTTTCATCAGACTAGACTCTCTTTATAATTGAAGTGAAATAGTAAATTCAATGTCTTAACATATTCACAATAATGTAATCCAAGTATTTATTCAACTAAAAAATATCCTTTTAAATTGGCATCTCTTTGGGAGAATTATCCATGCTAGACTATAAAAAACTTCCCAGAAATTATCCAAGCAATTTAAAATCAGCTTATGTTTAAGTCAGAACTGGTAGCAACATTCCTTAGAAACAGATCATGTAAAAGAGCAGTGAATTAATAGGTATGGAGTTTCCTCGGGGGAAGATGAAAATGTTCTGAAATTAGATAATGCTGATGACTATACAATTTTGTGACTATACTGAATGTTTTAAAGGGGGTGACTTTGATAGGATGTGAATTATATCTCCACTTTGTTGATACAATAGACATAACATTGTATATGTTCAAATTATAAATCGTGTTGATTTGATACATTTATATATTGTAACATCATTATCATAGTATCAGTTTATACCTCTACCATATCACATCATCATTTCTATTTGTGGTGAGAACATTTAAGATCTAGTCTCTTAGTGACTACAAAGTATATATTATTGTTGACTATAATCACTATGTTATACATTAGATCTTTTGTTGAGGCCATACAAAAACAGACGGAGCCAGATTTGGCCAGGAGGCAGTAGTTTGCTGAACCCTGTCCCATTATAGGGAAGAAGTAATCTAAGAATCTAGAAATAAATTCTATGATTCTATCTTCCAATGAAATTAAAACTTACTGTAAAATGGGTAAATTTCAACTCTAAAAATGAACAGGCTAATAATTACATTTAGTTACTTGATTATAAACCTAGTATCTAGATCAAATCAGAAGAAAAACAGTTGACTGACAGTGAAATTTTTAAAAATTCTATGTAGAAAAGATGTGGGAGAATTTTGAATTTAAATCAATGGAAAACAAAAATGGGCACAAATAGTATCCATTTCTTTTAATGGACAGTTTTACTGAGTTCTTTTTACATTCCTCCCCTCCCTAAAACCCATTCATTAAAAAGAAACAATCCTGACCCTTGGCCACCAAAATGCAGCCTAAACAGGAGTAATTATGTGGCAAGAGGTTAACAATACACAGCATGTAATATAACCAAAATAAGATTAAATCAACAATGTTAAAATGGAGAAGACATTAAACCAGAAAAAAAGAGAGAGAGACCATTTTAAATGTTCACGAATTGGCTAAACTAGGATACACTTTTGAGGATAAAGATGCTTGGGTTTTTTTATATGTAAAATGAAAAAGTGATTCCTTAAAAACAAGATGATCGTCTCAGTTATCTTTCGTGTTTGAAATTCCATAATTTTAACATTCTTTTTGTCTCAATCCAAGGACATACCTCACCTTAGATTTCCAAATATGAACTTTTAAGTTTGTAACCTATTAAACTATAAAATAAAGCACATGCAGAGAACCCCACAAAAATAAATGCATAGTTTAATGTATTAGTATAAGAGGTACACCGTTGCGATCACCACCCAGGTCAGGAATAGCGCTTTGCCAGACACCCCAGAAATCCCTCCTTGAATCTGTAGTAATCACAACCCCTCCTACCCCCAAAAGTAACCACTTTCTTGATTATCACAGTTACTACTTCCTTGGGTTTCTTCATACTTTTCTCACCCAAGTGTGTAATCCCAGACAAGGTTTTTCTTGCACATTTTCTAAAAGCATAGTGCACCTTTTAAATCTCTTTTAATCCACAAGTTCACCTAAAACGTCATCTGAGAAGCCAGAAGTAAGAGCAAATCACACATACAAGCAAATGAGTCGTTTAAGATCCAGGGGGTAGGGCTAACACGCAATAAACTGATACAGACCAGGTGATAAGGGCACATCAGTAAAGACTGAAGCTCTCCCTGAAATAATCACCACCTTCAGATCTTTAACTTCCGCACTAGCAGCATCAGAAACACCTGGGAACTTGATAGAAATGCCAAATCTAGCCCCCCAGCCCAGACCTGTTTAATCAAAAACTCTGAAATCCAGGCCCAGAAATCTGTTTTAACTCGCCCTCCTGATGCACGCTCAACTCTGCGAACCGCAGGCCAAGTTACCCTTTTCCCAAGACCGAAAAGGCGGCAAGGCATTTCGCTAAGCACTCAACAAGTGCGTCTCCATGCAGCACGTTACAAACCGAATTCTTTGCACGCTCTCAGTTGATCCGAGTTCGGACCAAGGGGTGGCGGGAGAGGGAAGAAGAGTGAGCGGTGGCCAGCGCCCCTCCAGACTCGCATTCTCTATCGCGCCGTCAGAGGGAGCCCCGAACCCAGACTCATGCCCCTAATACTACCATTCACCTGGTCGGTTGGTGGGAGGATGCAACCGACCCTCTAGACAGCTCCCTCAACTGCGGGGGTCGACACCACCCCACCCCCAGGACCGGTCCACTGGCCAAAGACCGGGGACGAAGCAATGGAACAGGGTTGTTGGGTCCAGCACCCCTCCACGTTTGGATTCGCCTGTCCCGTCTCCAGGGCAGCACGCAGAACGCCGGAAAGAGCGCCGGGTACGGACTGGCTGATCAGTTTCACTTCCTATTGGCTGGGGCCTGGAAGTGAGGCTGCTAGGGCGTCTCCCTCAACCCAAATGGCCGAGCGCCCAGCCTTAGGACGAGTCGATAACCCTGGACCGGGGCAGAAAGTGCTGGGCTTTTGGCATACCATCTTGCGAGTTTAGCACCCCTCCCCATTTGGATTCGCCCATCCCGTCTCCAAGGCAGCACTCAGAACGCCGGAAAAAAATACAAGGCCCTGATTGGCTGATCAGTTCTGGTTTCTATTGGCTGGGGCCCGGAAGTAGGTGTCGGAGATGGACCGTTAGTCCTTCTTTACTGGGTTTGAGGACTGGGGTGTTGGACTGATAACAAGGACCTACCTGGGCAGTAGTTACATTGTTGGGGGTTTTGGAGCCTTGGGCTCTCGTGATTTCTTCACAGCCTCACTCCCCTCCCCCATTGCTTTCCATTGTTTTTTTCTTTCTGACGTCCTTTGTAGCTCAGGTGGACGTGGCAGCATAGACCGGGTTACTGGGTTCCTCACCCTGTAACCTAGGGATTACTTCCTTCTTGTGCCGGAGGAAACGGACTAGAGCCTCTGACCCCGAGTTGATTGCTGTGACTTTGAGAGCTCCGCGCCCTCAAATTCCAACCACCAGGCACGTTAGCTCCAGCTCCCACTTCCATTTAAGTTAGCACACTGCGTTTCTCAAACTTCAGCGTCAGAGTTCCCTAGAGTGCGAGACCTTGTGAGAACATTTCTGGGTCGCACCCACAGAACTTCTGATTTAGTAGGTCTGGATGAGGCCTAGCAGCATCAGAAACCCATTCGGGGGTTCTGAATGGGTTGAGAAGCCCATTTGCATTTCTCTCAAGTTACCAGGTGATGTAGATGTTCATAAGGGGGGACCACGCTTTTCGAACCTGTCTGTAGAGGAACTAAGTGTGCCTCTGATCTCAGGTAAAGCTCGAACACGTTGTATTCTTTGACTTCTAACCCGTCCTGCCTTCTCAGTATCTTACATTACTACTGTCAGGTTTGCAGACCAGCATAGCTCATTTTATTGTGTCCCATTTCATTGCGCGTCACAGGTGTTGCATTTTTTTATATATATAAGGCAAAACTTTCCACCAGCCAAACGATAGGACTCGCTTTATTGTGATACTCGCTTTATTGCGGTCGCCTGGAACCTACAGTATCTTCAAGCTATGCCTATATCTAACAGCTCTGATGTGGAAAAAAGTTTTCTCATTACTCGCTAGTTAATGAAGATATAAAATGAGACAGTATCACAAAAGACAAGCAAGCAAGTCCAAGGATCCTGCTCAGTGACCACCACTGGTCCAGAGGTTAAACCTGGACATTAGTTCCATAAGGGGAAAAAAAAACCCACTGTGCTATTTAGGCTCTTGATGAGCAAGGAGAGCTGAAACACCATGTTTTGTGAATGCTTCAATTCCTGAGCACTTTCAGAGTGACCTTTGCCCTCTCGATTTTACATTTTCGTTCTCATGAGATATGAGAAGAATGTATCTGACATGAAGGATTCCAAATGCTGAGTTACGCTGGCTACTTCAGAAATACCTGATGCTTCATCTTTTATTAACTTTATTTTTCTATTGTTGCTAGTACAGATGTTCCCCTCCCTCCTGCCTTTGCCCACCTCCACCTCACCTTCATTTTGATGATCACAAAGAATATCATCATTCAGTCCCATAGAAAGTGCCTTCTTTGGGCAAAGTGCTCTGTTAGATGTAAAGGAAGAGGAAAAAAATGATTAGTTATTGCCCTGGCCAGGTGGCCTAGTTGGTTGGAACACCATCCCATGCACCAACACATTGTCAATTGGATCCCCAATCAGGGCACATGCCTAGGTTGCAGTTTCGATGCCAGGTTGGGGCGTGTACAGGAGGCAACCAATTGATGATTCTCTCCCACACTGATGCCTCTCTGTCTCTTTCTCTCTCCCCAGCTCCTCTCTCTCTCAATTCAATAAATGTATCCTCAGGTGAGGACTTAAAAAATTATTAGTCGTTATCTTTATTCAAAGCAGCATACAAAAATAATGTAATAATACTGATACATGAAAAATTATTTTAAAAATTAGAGAAAGGAAAAGCACATTTAAAATTTTACTTAGGTTTTGGAGGGAAATTAGATTAAAATATACATGTTCGGAAGGACTGGAGGTGCTCAGGGTGAGCCCTGAAATGGGTTGAATGCTTCTCTAGCTGCTATTGAAGAGAAAAGCATAACCCTTCAGTCTTCACTGGCTGCAAAGTAAAAGCAAACCGTTTAGTCAGGAAAAGTCTATTCCTGAACAAGATGCATCCCCTGGGTCTTCAACATGCACTGTAAAGAGCTGTGTCGATATAAACACTAACTCCTTTTCATGTTCCCTCCACATAGGCAGACAGCATCATGCCACACCTAATTTGGTAAACACTGCTACACTTAAGTGACTGCTCTTAAAGGCAGGGCGGTTATAAATCCAGGTTTATCCACCCTGGCAAATACTGGGAGTGTAGCTCTTCCAGAAAGCCAGTTACACATGAAGCCCCATGCTGAAGAAATTCACATACTCTAGCGACAACTGGGGAACCTAAGAAAGATGCTCCACTTCCTTAAGAAGGGAGACAAATGAGGGCGCTGGTTTCCAAAGTCGGTAACTGTCCCTATACAATAAGTCGGGCTCCCGATTCAAAATGAGGAACTGAACACGTGGATTTATCACAGCCTCCCAAAACCTCACTGAAATGACTGATGGACATTAAAACCATAACAGCACCAACAAGAAAGGGAGCCCTCCTGAGGTGGACACTTTGAGATGTCCGTGGAACATAGACAGCACAGGGCTTCGGATAAACAGGATCCATAGTAGAACTACCTGCAACCCGGCCTCTAGTGTTGAGTCCTACAGCATTCCATTCTCATCTTGGTATTGGAGGAAAGGAATTCTGCCTCCACTACCAACCCACCTCACCACCCTGGGCAGTGAATCCCCGCATTGCCTTCTGCTTTCAAGATAAAACCTGGAAATACTTTCTAAACAGCAGGAGCAAGGGACCTAGCGCAGGGGAGGATGGAGAGTTCCTTCTGAACCATGAGACTTTTCTGCAAAGAGTGATGGCCCTGGCTAGTCTTCTAATCTTCAGTGAAAAGATTGGGAGTTTCTTTGTTGGGAAAAGGGATTTCCCAGAAACAAAATACTGACATCCAGCAAGAGGGGAAAGTCTCCCAATAAAATCTCGGTGGCTTCTCACCACAAAATAAAGTTCATTAATCAGTAAATCCTGAAACGTGCAGTGAACACTAAACGGCCCTTTAGTGCCTTGCTCTTGCATATGAATATATGGTCAGCAACACTAAAATACCTGCGGACAGATGCCAATACAGCTGAGATTAAAATCAGCAAACCAATCAAAGTAACTCAGAGGGAATAGAAGCAATGCAGTAAGCGAACTGAAACTTCCAAATTATAACTAAGATTTTTTTTAAATGTTTATACGTTATTTGGTGCATAGTAGCTTGTATTCTCACTACTTTATTTTTTTTAATATTTTATTTATTTATCTTTAGAGAGGAAGGGAAGAAGAGAAGGAGAGAAGTATCAATGTGTGGTTGCCTCTCATAAGTCCCCTGCTGGGAACTGGCCTGCAACCTAGGCATGTGCCCTGACTGGGAATCGAACCACAATCATGTGGTTCGCAGACCCGCGCTCAATCCACTGAGCTACACCAGCCAGGGCTATAACTAAGATTTTTTAACATATGAAAAGGTGTAGCATTCATTGTTTGCATTTTGTGTTTTCTTTAATCCAAGAGATATTTAAAAGTTGGATTTTTTCTTCATTTTTAATTAGAAACGGGATAGATTTTCTGGATTTTAGCCTGTATATTTAATTTTAGGAATGTAGGAGTTTATTGAAATTTTTGTGACCTAATATATGGTTAATATTTTTAAATGTTCCACAAGAGTTGGAAAGAAAATACATTTTTATTTGTTGGGTTCGAATGTTCATACACATAATTTTGAGCTTACTAATTGATACGCACAAGTCTTCCAAATCCTCTCTCTCTGTGGCTTTGTCCTGTTGGCTCTGCCAGTTCCTGAGAAAGGCATTTGGAAGGTACTCACTATGGTTGTCACTTTGTCACTGATTTGTTGTTGTGTTTAGGTCAAGGATAATGAGCTTAACACATAACAAAATGACCCCAATGGAAGTCAAAGGAAAGCATTACTGGATGAAAACAGAGATAAATGAAACAAAAAGGGGGGAAAGCCACCTGCCAGGGGTGTCAATTCAGAGGGCAGGAGCTGGGTCCAGGATTGAAGTTCCCACGAGAGCTACACACAGTGGCTGGCCAGGGTGTCCTGGGTCCCTGGCGCCCACTAAGATAAGGTGCGCTCCGTTCTCAGGTTACCAGCCCAAGGAACGGGTTCTCCTGGAGACTGAAGCTGGAGTCTGGGAGCCTCGGGACTGAGGGACCTGTGAGTCTAGAAAGCCTGAGAGGGTCATTCTTTGGGCACCACCCTGCCAGTGTGAACACGCTGGGAGAGCCAGACACCCCCTCCACTTGGGTGTGAGATTTTCAACTTCGTAACACTAATTTATAGCCCTTGAACTCTCTGGCCTCCTGGGATGTCTTTTTCCTGTAAGGATTAATGACTAGCAATTTAATCAGTCTCATGCTGATGGACATTTGGCCACAACTCAAATGGCCATCAGCAGGAGACTGATTAAATTAGAAATAAACTTTCCTTTTGTGCATCGATGTGAAAATATCTCCAAGATTAATTGTTAAAGGCAAAAACCAACATGTATAACATAGTATTATATACTACCATTTGTGGAGAGGAAAAAAAGGGGCAAAAATGTATGTAGGTATTGGCTTCTGTGTGCAAAGAATAGCTCCAACATCTCCGGAAGGGAGCACAGGAAGCCAGGAACTGCTGACT